TTAATGAAAATTATAATTCGAAAAACTTCTAGTTAAAATCCCAATTAATTGATACAGGGTGTCCAAAAACCACCTTCGAATGGAGGGATTTCGTAAAATACTGCATTCTTAATTAAATTAAAAATACGTATAGGTATATTATCACCATTCGATTGTTAATGTATTGAAAATAAACAATAATGTAATAATCGTATTGAAAATAAATAATTTTCTACCCCAGATAATATTGGTTGATTTGATTATTGAGTGTCGATCAGAAATTATTGAATATATTAGGTAAACGTATATGATTTACTTATTTATTTATTTTTACGTATTTGCTAATAGTAGTAGCTAAAAATTACAGTGTGTTTTTCTTCTTAGGTTTCTCATTTTTCAGTTGTTTTCCTATTCCTTGTTACATTAGATTCAACTTGTAAACAGTTGTGCTTGAAAATCTTCAACAAACGTCAGAAACTGTCATACCTACTGAATATCCCAATTTCTGAGAAATATGAATAATTATGTTAAATATGTAGGTGGTAGGTAAGTTGAACGCAATATCATGCTCAATTGAGACACACACACACACACACACACACACACACACATATATATATATATATATATATATATATATATATATATATATATATATAAGAAAATGAACACTAGAACATTCATTTGAAAAATTCAAATTAATTAAGAGAACGTTATAGTAGAGCTAGATATGTGAACGTGTACGATGTGATGCCTCCATTATCCTTTCAGGGATAAATGTTAGAGAAATATTGAAATCGATGCCACACCTGATGGAAGTGCGAGACATATATGTTTCGTTCTGCAAGGAACTCGTCAGTCGCATCACGTCCATCGAAGTGAGGTAACGATTTCAACCCCCAAGCATCTTCTTGTGACTCCAAGTAGAAGACCGTAGAGTAATGAATACTCCACAATTCCATCTATAGAAATCAGTAGAAAATACCCCTCTCAGATTACAGACACACCAAGCATCGAAATTTCACATATCTTCTATACCCGTAGGTATCTACCAAATTGCAATGTCTTTTGACAAATATCATCGATCGATGTTTTCAAATGTCAATAGGTTGCGTTAGTAGTACGCTCGCGTTTATTCCCGTATTTCAGGGGCCTATTCGGCGATATTTTTGAGGAAATGAAATTTTTTGTGCTTATGACACTGAATGAAATATTTAAGAAAATGAACACTAGAACATTCATTTGAAATATTCAAATTAATCAAGAGAATGTTATAGTAGAGCTATAATTTCATAATTTTTCAAATTTTGATTAAGATATTTATGTTTTTATCCACAACTTCAGTAATATTTTTGTAACTAACAATTTGTAATATTGTATATTTACCAATTTGAATTGTTTTTTGTTACACATTTTGTATTGTAGAAGCACAAAATGTATTGGATAAAATAAAGTAATTGCCAATGCTTGGCTGAGAAGAAAGAGTGTTACATTATTTCCGAATTAAGTCGACAATACCCTTAAATTTTTCTTAAATATAAATATATATATATATATATATATATATATTTTTTTTCTTTCAGTAACTATAAAGAAAATTATTGATTGTTGAAAAGTCGCAATTTAAGACATACACTGTGGCTGCATTAAATTAATATTTATTTATTTTTTTTGTCGAAATTTCATTTATTCACTAATTAATAATTAAAAATATATATAATAAATATAATAAGTTATGAAGAACACTAATTTAAATTTTCTCATATTTTAAATATGAATGACGCATGACGCACGTTTCTAAGTACAACTTCCTGTACTTCGAAAGTGTTGATTCTGCATCTGAAGAGGAAGTTGTGTTGTGAAACGCGCGTCATGCTTATTATTCAATATGTGACAGAACTTCAATTAGTGTTTTATTATGGATATTAATTTTCTCCAAGTATCAGCCTTTTCAATCATTAACATAATAAGTTTGCATATTCAATTGATTTCAAATAATAACGCTTGTATCTAAGTAATTTCAACTACAAACGTGTATGAAGCATATACAGTCAAAGATATTTAGACCATTGAGAAAGTACTTATGACAAATTTCACCTAAGTAATTTGTAAACAAGTTTGAAGCTACTACTAGTTAGCTAGACTTAAGCTAGACTTTTAAGATTAACACAGGATAAGAAAAACAGTTTAACAAAATATTTCACCGAGAATTAACTACATAATTAATTATTAATATGTGTAGGTGTGGAATAAATTCCGAAATCTACTTCGAATAATTCATAAGTTTCTAAATACACGAGATCCTATGTAGCAAAAATACATCAGAAAGTCGAGGAAAAGAATCATCACACCACTAGAAGTATTATAATACTCGGATAAATATTGATACTTTCAACAAATTTGTTAATTCCTTCTGTTTCAATATATATTTATAAAACACGAGTGCCGAAGTTTGGAAAATACAAAATATAACGCTAGATTTGATGAAGTCATCAAAGGTCATAAAACAATGAGTGATAAAAGTTTCTCTGATTTGGTATGTAAGGATTAAATAACAAATTACATAGACATCGCCCTCAAGGTCAAAATACGTCACAATATCTAAACAATGTGTCTCAAATTAAATTTGATTGCAAATCTTACAGTGAAGAATTTATGGAACATCTTCAATATGGTTTTCAAATTGATTTTTCTTCGAATTGGTCAGAAATGTGGTACTTAACAAATTTGTCGCTCTAGGTTGCTACATGCAACCCTAGATGTACTTCTAGATTTAAGTTTAGATCGTAAATCTGTTTAAAAATGAAAGATTGGACATAATTTTGACGTTTTGTATTCCACGTCAATTTTTGTAATACCTAAATACTTGTTATTATGAAAATTCAAAATTTCAAAGTAGAATATCCAATTATATTCATCAAATTGCAGAAGAATATGCAAAACACCATCCTTTCGTAAATTTTGTTTAGTCAAATCATTGCACAAACCTTGATGCTTTATATTATCTAATTTATACGCGTATACGCATATTTTCAGTTTCATAAAAACAAGAAGGCCTTGGAGAAATTATTAGAGAAAAGTGTCATCGAAAATTTTTTTCAAGGACACACCTCTAAATTTTCTGTCAATTTGTTTTAAAAAATGTGCTATCACAATGGTGAAACGTACGTTTTCTGTATCATGTCTACTTTGAAATGGATTTATGTCAAGAAACGACCGTAATAATTGAAAAAATCTGTCATATTTGTTGGAATTGATAATATAAAAACAGTCCTACAGATTAACACAATTATAGAATGTAGCCCAATATACTTAGCTTACTTAGCCTCGTGTAATGTTAATTGGATAATAATATGTTTTTTGCCATAAATATTTAACAAAATTGCACTTCTTAAATGAAGAAACAAATACGAAATCTGAAACGGATTAAATATGACTAGATCAACGCAATGTTATGAAGAACTGTCAAATTGAATGTCATAGTAAACAGTTATACCAACCCAAAATTCTCCATCTGATGAAAAATCCTATAAGTGTTTATAATGCACCAGTGTTCTCCCAGTGGTCAAAATTCGGCCATAATTCATTTTATTTATACGTTTGAACTTTATTGGAGTTCTGTTGTTGAATACCAAGCACATATATACCTTTACATCATCTCTCCTTTATGATGTGTCATGGTTTCTAGTAAGTTGTATTTCACAAATGAAAACAATTCCCTAGCTTTATTGATGTGCTAATTAAATACTTCCTTGGCCGCGTTGGTCACTTTTTGGTAGGAGAAAATTTTATAGGTTCGCGTCACCGACATGGTTCGCCGTGTGCTCTGCGCGTAAGACGGTTTTTGGTTGGGTGAAATTTCGATCGTTCGCGTCACCGACATGCTTGTAGAGCATATCTGTAGTTATAGAAATGACATATTGTACTCAGATAAATTTTCATTTCTCACAATTACAATAAGCTTATTATTGTATCTTTTTTAGAACACAATGAAATAATTGAAAGCTTATTTCAGCAACGATAAACAAAACTCCTAGCAACAATAAAAAAATTGTAGCTCGAAGTGTAGATAGACTACAATTTCTAAGTTTTCACTTTTATCGCCATTCCCTATAACTCTCAATTTAAAATTTTTTTATTTTACCTCCAGTAGGTACCAGGATTTTCGCCTCCCTTCTTCTAAATTGTTAAGTTAATTAATAATTACATTGTTAATAATTACAAAATTGGCATATATCAATCTGTGTATTTTATAGACACCTAATTAATAAAAGCAATAATTTCGTACAATTAAAGTATTGTTATTTGAGTATTCAAATTAAATACCTATTGTTTTCTCAATGGGCTATTGTTAGAAATGTGTTTGCGGTACAAGTTGGTAAACTAAATTTTCCACTTAGACAAGAATTTGAAGTTTTAAGTGACGATACATCCCTTCATCTTTCTTCCTATTCGTGTCATCTTATCTTGAGGTCTTAATTGAACAATTGATGGATTATATTCCAAATAAGGATACGAGTGGATATTTGTGCGTAGTCAATCCATTTAATAGGCTAGCAAGTACGAAATGTTGAGCTGAGTGTTCGTTCGTCTTTACAACGAAGTGATAGAGCTGTCAACTTAACAGACAATGAAATTGACTGCGAGAATGCTCGTGTCAATGAATTTTGGATGAGTATTAAACACAGCTCTTAAGAACGGCGTTGACAGTTTCTATTCTATTTGTTGTCATATAGGTATTTCATTCTTCAACAATGTTTATTTTGAAAATCGAAGCCACAAATCATTTGACATTGAAAAATGACAATGTAGTATGCGAAAATTAAATACATTTTCAAAGATTGTCTCATCTCAAAAATTATTCACTGCATTGCATAAAATGTCAACAAAGAATTTCGGATAATAAAAATTTGTTTGAATTATTTCCGATGAGTAATTCTCACAATATCTATTTAGATAATTTTTTTTTCATTTTATCATCCGTAAACATTTCTGCTAACCACGAACAAAGAAAGAGACCGGTCTCTGTAGCTTAGTCGGTAGAACACCCGACTATGATGCGGTAGAACTCGGGTTCGATCCCAGGTAAAGGCATAGCTGTTTGTGTTTGTCTATGATTTAAGTAGTTTGAATAATGATATATGCTGGGTAATTTACAATGATTTACAAGCCCAATAGTCGTTCGGAACCGGCGTTAAACTGTAGGTCCACTGAATTAAGAAAAAAGAACAAAGAAAGATGTAATAGATATAAAAATTAATCCCGGAATGGTTTTATACGCGCATAACTTCCGAACGATTTTACTTAATTAGATATTCCACTTTTGTTATCGTTTTTTAGGACTAGGTTTGTATGAAAAGAAATTGCGAAAATTCGAATAAGAAAATATTTGAAAATCTCATAATATGGAAAGTGTATGTTTCAACGATACGTTAACGTCATTTTTTCAGGCACGAAATAACTTCAAAAATATTGCAGGAAGTACAGATTGACATTATCTCATATTCAACTACCTTTTCTCAAGCATCAAAACGGCATTTCTTGTGTTTTGTTCAATACATTGTTATTGATGAGAAAATGCTATCAATTATGAAAATATTGTAATCGTGAAATATTGTATGAGACGACGAAAGAACTGTTGAGTTCTCAATAAAGGAAGATATTCTGATTGACAACGAACTTTTAGGTTTGCCGGTCTCTGTAGCTTGATAGGAAGAACACTCGACTATGGTGCGGTAGAACTCGGGTTCGAGCCCCGCTGAAGGCATAGGTGTTTGTGTTTGTCTATGATTTAAGGAGTTTAAGTAATGATCTATGCTGGGTAATGTACATAGATTAAAAGCCCAATGTTCGTTCGGAACCAGCGTTAAACTGTACGTCCACTGAATAAAAAAAAACTTTTAAACTTCATTCCATGTGATTATTCCAGAACTATTCCATCAAACTTGTTAATTCTTCTTTCTTCTTCTCAGTCGTTCACTCTTGACAGAGTGGCCGTGGTCGTGTCTCGGTCTTGTGCCACTGCGTTCCATGCGATACGGCGCCACACTGTTCTATGCTTAGCGGCTCTAGAGTTTTCATTGGTGCTGAAATGCGTCACAGATTTTATTAGATCTGTCACCTTGTTGGAAAGCGCCCACGCGATCTTTTGCCCTCGACTTTCCCTTGGATCACCAATCGTTCGATAGAGTCTTCATTTCGGGTTACATGTCCAAAGAATTTAAGAATTCGCATCTGCACAGTCGACGATAACCTCTCTTTGATTTAGCTCCTTCAGAATCGAGACGTTGGTTCGATGTGCAGTCAACGGGATTCTGAGCAAACGTTTCCAGCACCACATTTCTAACGCATCAATTTTGCGACGATCTTGTATCCTCAATGTCCATGTCTCAGCTCCGTACAAAAAACTTGTTAATAGTTATATGGAATTACTAATAATCCGACTGATTTAAATTGATCTGAGGTGATATATTTCGTGGAACCGAGGGGGACATAAATACTAATACGGGTTATTCAGGATTTTTGAAAATATTGACGAAAAATATGGGAGTACGAAGTTTTCTAGGCAGATTATGTAGACTAAGTAGACTAGACAGCTAGTATTTGATAAAAACATTTGCGCATGATTCTTGGTTCGTACTACTAGTTCTGGAATCCGTTAAAAAATTAGTAGGACTTCGAAAAACTTTGTCAATTTTATTTTTTACGGAAACCACAAATAAGAGAGTTATCTTCTCTTATATTGAAAATCATGGTTTTTATATTGTAATTATGAAAGTAAGTACATATGGTACAGAAGTATATGTAACTACGTTACAAATATTTTAATATATAATTTGAATGTTCCCTTGATTCCTCGAAGAAAGTTTCATTTACTTGACATATGTTTCCGGTCTTATTTGCTATAATCAGAGCTAATTGAAATGATATATACGTTGTTTCATACAAATTATACAAATTAAAAATATACCAACTATAAAATCCTTGACCGGCGGTCTGAGTCGAATTGTGTTATATTTTCAAACTCGTGCTGTTTTTGCCCAGTGTTTCAAAAGCTTTTAGAATGTCCTCATTTGAAATACAGACAAATATAACACATCCTGTATACCTAAATGCTAGTAGGTAATTAAATATTTTAGGGATACATCGTGCGAAGTCAAACTTTTTGCATATATTTATTGAACATTGAATCATATCAGCGAAGTGAAAAAACAAGCGCCTTATAACAATTGGCCTTGAATTATTGGGTGAATTACAATATCAGAATTATCACGAGTAGTCTGAAAATGATGCAATTCTCTAGAAATGAGGAGGCCAATGTTATTTTTAGTGATTAAAACTGTTTTGAACTTGATAGGTGTTAATAGTATCAGATATATCTACATAACAATATTTTTAATATAAAAAACATATTACTTTGATGATGTGTCATTCTTGAAGTATTTTTGTACATTCTCAACAAATATTGTTCAACTTTAGTCGTTCCCATAGTGTAGAACAGTGTTTCTGAACCACTGTTCCGCTGCACTTTTGGGTGAAGCCAATTTCCTAAAATAATCCCTATGTTCTTGTGGTCTCATCTTATAGGAGGCCGTTCAAGTAATATATAAGCAGACTTATTACAATTATTTACCTTTCTCCCTGCCCATTGACAGCAACACCAAGCAAAACTCTTGCAACATCCCCCTTCGATGCTTACATAAACTTTGGTATATGCAAGTCCGCTGTTTATAAATCCGCATAGATATATCTGATGAAAAACACGATTGATTATTGGGATTAATCAGTAAGAGTATATATACGTTAAATTTTTTTAATTTCATATCTTTTCGTCACAAAGGGTGAGATGAGTGAATTTAGTTTCATAGGTTAGGTTGGTACTATTTCGGCCTACTGTTAAGTAGGTCTGTTTGTCATGTTGTGTTGCTTGGGAGAGGACGAAAAGTTAACCTGACAATGGAAAAAAAGTTGGCATGTTTTTTTGAAAAATGATTAGAAATTAATTATCATCAAGATTCAGACGTGTTGAGACCGTAAAATTATATACTTTTTCTTTTGTTGAATTTTGCTTAGTTGGAAAGAATAAGTATCCAGTATTGGGATAAGTTGATGGTCGTTGAATTCTTCTGGCATTTGTTCGTTATTTGGAAATGGCGAATTAAAGAAGTACCCTTTAGGGGATGAAAGCACGTGTTCTTGATATACATTAAACCGCACACTACATCTTTGTGGTTTTTATTTTAACTTTTACTTTTTCTTTTTTTGGATTTTGCCGTTTTTTTTAGTAGTGGAATTATTCAGAATCACCATTTTGAGAAAGTTTGGCAAAATAGATCTTTGAGCCTAAAGCTGGAAGTTTGAGTACGCTTAGTGTTGTGAGAGTATTCAAGTACATTGTTTGAAGAGACAATTAATATTTGACTTTTCATTTTATTAACCTTGAATTGACTTTCATGTTATAACTGTTCAATGTACATGCTGAACATTCCTTTTTAGTAAACATTAATTTTTCTTGTGACGATTAAATCCTCTTAGCTAAGAGAGAATTAATTTATCTTTTATTTGTTTAAATTTTTTTTTGGATTTCGCATTATTAATTTTCTTTTATATTTAATATATATAAAAGAAAATGAAATTATGGGAAAGGATCTCCTTTAGGACACATAAAATACTGCACTCATACATTATTCGAAAGCCGCAGCGGTAAATCGGGGTATTTTTTGTGACCAATCAACGAAATAAATCATAAGAAACAGATGTATCTAATATCAATGAGATTGAATTCTCGCTTAACTCTTGGTGACACATAATTGAATATTGAAATAAATTAAAGTCTTGGCTTAATGTTTCACGATTTATTTAACAATATGTATAGTCAACATGTTTCGAGCGTTAGCTCATTTTCAAGACTGAGCTAACGCTCGAAACATGTTGACTATACATATTGTTAAATAAATCGTGAAACATTAAGCCAAGAGTTTAATTTATTTTAATATTCAATTATGTTTCACCAAGAGTTAAGCGAGAATTCAATCTCATTAATTAAAAATGCTAGCAATGCATATCTCGCTATCCACTACAGAAGAGTTCTCATCAAATTTAAATCTTGCAATAATCACATTTGGTTCAACAAGGAGTGTCTGAGGAAAAAACTAACACCAAAATATATGAAGATTTCCTGCAAACACAACTCTATGGAATCAAAATCAGCCGTACAAGCAGCATATAAATTTTGGTTAGAAAAGGAGATGAAAAAATGGTACCGACAACGATACAATCAGTCTTGAAAATGAGCTAACGCTCGAAACATGTTGACTATACATATTGTTAAATAAATCGTGAAACATTAAGCCAAGAGTTTAATTTATTTTAATAGTATCTAATATCAGCTAATATCTAATATCAGCTATCCATTTAACATTGAAATTATTGTTTTCAAACAAAATATAACGAGAAAGTTTTTGGCGATTGCTGATATTTCTAATATAGTCTGATATTTCTTGTACTCATACCTTCCTGAAATGGTTTCACTTTCCTTGGTAAAAACGTAGCAGATTGGATTGTCCTCAATTGTTGCGTGCAATTCTTCTTAATTTTCTTTTACGAGTAGACAACATTATCAAGTTCGTTATCGGACTTTGCTGTTAACTTATAATTACTCCAGAGTTTTCAACGACCTTCTATATTTTGTACTTTTGTATTTGTACGAGATTTTCTGAAAATTTTTGAACAATTTCTTGTAAAACTTGGATTTGTCTATTTGAAACGACAACAATTCAATTTTGGCGGAAGTGGATCAAGGGTAACATAAAGATTAAAGTGCTTTGCTTTGCTCACAATATGTCAAATCGTCGAATGTGCCGAAACGAAAAAGTATATTGACGAAAGAAATTGCTTTTCGGTTTCATGCATAGACAATGTGTGGGTTGTCATATGTGTGAAAAATAAATAACTACTGTTGACGTAATCACTATATACATCGTCTCCTCGCCGATGTCATCAATAATAAGCAGAGCAAAGTACCCCCGGTCCCCCTTAAGTTCTTGAAAATCTTGAATGGCTACTAGAAAGTTAAAATTTCAGCAAATCGTTCT